GCCTTCATTGAAGAAAGACAAAATGCTCGTAGTGATGTCACTGAAAACATCAGTGGGTTTCTTAAAGGGGCAGTTACCCCATAATGACAGGGTGGACAGCAATTTCAGGGACACATGCAAAATGTTCAATATGATTATGAAAATACAATATACATGATCAAAATTACTTGTTTTATCAAATAACTTATTGTGGACAGTAAAACCATGTAAAAAAAAAAATGGATTTAGTATCATTTAACCACTTATTACACACACTGTAGTTAGCAGAGCAGTGTGTGGGACATGCCAAAATCACGTACATCCAATGAAAAAAAATTAATAAAATGAAGGAAACACTTTTTTAGAGACTTATCATTCTACTGATATGTGTGCAAATGTTTGGCCACTTATAATAAGACCTCAGACTTTCATTATTCTGCTACATTTTCATGATGACTGAGTGAGTCTGATGAGGACACCAAAGGCACCTCATAGTGATATTGACTCAGCTACTGTAAATTGGACAGTGCAGTTAGATTAACAAGAATTTAAGCTTTCTGCCCATATAAGACATGTCAATGTCCTGGAAAGTTTGCTGTTACTTACAACAGTCATGCTAATCACATTATATATATATATATATGTGTGTGTGTGTGGGACAAAAGAAAAGGCAGTGTAGAACCCCATTGCCCATCATGCATTGCTCTAATACGTTTCAAAATATTGTTCTCCGAAGTTTGCCCCCCAAAATGTATTTTCCTACGAATTAAGTCGCACAAAAATGTGTATTTTCACATGAATTAAGCTACACAAAATGGCATTAAAGCACACGAAATATGCTGAAATACTTTTTGTACATATTTGCACGAATTGAGTGTGAGATTGTGTTGCCAATGCGGAGCTGAACATCCGCAGCCGCTCTGCAGGAATACTTTCAGGCGAGCGGGGTAAGGTGACTGGATTCAGATGTGCTGCTCCTTCCGCTGCTTCTTGATTTCAGCATATTCTCTCTGTTTTCTTTGGATGTCCACCGAGTAGTCCTGGTCAAATGACATCAGCTTTTCCTGGAACATCAGCTCTTTAGCTTGCCATGCTGTGTGTAGGACAGTTGTTTGGTTTGATAGCTCAGGAATCGTAGGACGATGGACCTCGGTGGCGTGCAGGGGTCGGTGGGTGGTTAACCTAGCTCCCTGTGGCTGTGCTGAACTCCCAGGTCCATCTCGGGTGGGAGATGCAATAGTTATTTTATAAAGGGCTCAATGAACTTCTGCATATCTCCTTTGGGCTCAATGAAATTCTGCATATCTCCTTTTACCGTGCTTTCTGGTACTCCATATATTCTCACAATTTCTCTTTTCTCTCGATTCTAAATCTTCACATTTGTCATGACTCATGAAGATATTGTTGGTTTTTGAGAGTGAAAGAGAGAAGTCTTTCGAGAGTACCACACCTGTCTTCCAGCTCACCCACTCGGCCCTCCGCTGTCTTGAGTGTGATGTCCAGGTTCTGGATGGTAGTACTCGCGTCCAGGGGCGGTGTGTTCAATAGGGCGATATGGGCGACGCACTGCCAAACGGGAAAAGGAAGGGATTTTTTTTCTAATCAATTATATCACGGCAACAGTAGTTATCAGTGTTCTAATCTGATCTGACTGCCACTAAATGTCAAATCAGGCTAAAGTCGTGCTTCAAATGGCCCCGCCCGTTTTTGGGGCGATTTCAGTCATGTTGAAAATCGCCCAGAAGTCTGTCATAGACTCCCATGTAAAATCTATTTTTTTCAAATTTCAAAGCTTTCAATACAATCTCTATGGGTGTCTGTGGGCTTGCACTTACCCGCTTTCGTCATACGTGACGTAACCATGAACGTAACTAAGAAAATAGCGGCTAGCAGCGTCTCTGTTGCGACCTGCAGTGTGGCGTTATCTTATGTTTTTAATTTGTACACTTAGTGGCGTTATTTTATGTTTTTAATTTGTACACTTAGTTTACAAACATTCTGCCAACCATGGATTTCCAGTGGTGGGTTTTGGACTGATCTTGTTGATCGTGTACATACCCGCTACGAACGGACTAAATAATGAAAACGCTGCTGGCAGCGGAATCCAATACAGCTGGGAGACTTGGCTGGATGACAGAGTCCCGGACAGAGAAGTGGAGCCGGCCGGCTTCACCCTGGTCAGAGCGGACCGCGATCTGACAGTCACAGGGAAAATCGATCCTGGTAAGAGAGCGACTCTGTACCCCCGACATTGAACTGCTTTCTGTGTCACTGCGACCTTACTATCTGCCCCGTGAGTTCCCCCAATTGTTTGTTACCGTTGTGTACTGTTGATAATCACAAGTTTACTGGAGAACTGAGACCAAGTAGAGACTTTGGACAGGGTGGATATGGTATAATAAAGGCAGTTTATTCAGAGGTAAAGATATCTGGAATCGCGTGCACGGACTCGTTCGTCAAACTCTTAGGGAGCTATCTGAAGAGAGCCCCGAAAACATTGTGTGCAGACATTTTATACAATACATGATGTAGGTTGAATCTAGTAGTTCTGATCTTCTGATTGGTCCTGATGAGTTGGGCGAGGTCCCCTCCACTGTTGCATTGGCTCTGAGTCGGGTTCTCTGTCTTCAAATGTTCAGCCTAAAGAGAGGGGATTTTTGTGTGTGTGTGTGTGTGTGTGTGTTTAACAGTGATGATGTGTGTGTGTGTGTGTGTGTTATCAGTGATGATGTGTGTGTGTGTGTGTGTGTGTGTGTGTGTGTGTCCTCAGAGCAAGAACTCGTGAGTTGGAAGAACTGAGAGACCTATGGCGTGGGTGTTGTCCTTGGCCACCTGCTGACAAGGCTGACAAGATAGGACTCTTTTGTCCATTGTTATAGGATAGGAACAGCATTGATTGAAAACAAACGCCCAACACAAAATGGGTCATGCACAAGATTTTAGTCAGACCAAGCTATAACATTATATATTTACTACGACAGTACATTCAACCAAAAGCTAATATAACAAAGGCATCAGAGATTATTTATAATCTGTCACAGAAACTGGAATCCATCTCCCCAGATCAGTCAATAAATGCTTCTGGTATTGACTTATATGCTGCCCCTGTCTTCATGTTGTTGCTGGACATATCTTTTTTTAAATGTGTGTAGGTCACCTAAATCATCAGAAAAATTGCCCCTCCTGAGAATTTTTTCAGGAGCCGCCACTGCTCGCGTCTTCTATTTTCTTTCCCACTGTTTCAAACTGTTTGTCCACCTTTTCAAAAGCACAATTTCTGTGCAGATAAGCAATTCCGGGCATTTTTTGTTTGTCGCTCACCGGCTTGTTGTCTTGTTTCTTATATTTACTTGCGGGTCTTGTGGTCAAACCGTTTGCATAATCGAAAAAGGATTTATTATAACACCCATTAACAAAATTCATGGTCCTGTGAAAAAAAACGGGCCCGCCTATAGAAATGTGCGGTAGATAGCCATAGGCTTATCTGCAGAAAATATTGTAGCCTAATGTGGAAAGGCTGCCGATTTATTGATTATGTTATATCAGGACAACTTCTCTCCAATTATTCATATTTTATTTAACTCTTTGGACGGTAGGCCAACACAGCCGTGGCATGGATTACTTTTCTACCAAGCCCGCATCCAAACCAATCTCAGGCTGTATAGGCTAATTCTATAGGCCTAAAGAATATATATACATTTCCTTAGAACAAAAAAATATTAGTCTATTATATTTAGTTAGACTTGAGTTATAGAAATAGCCTACCAAAATATGTCTAACACACAGCACTCTCTAGCGTCTTAAAATCACCACACACAAAAATCCTCTAATCTAAAAAAATGTGGTCAACAGAAACAAAATGAACAGATCGCTGAAAACCTAAAAGATATTGTACATCCAATTATAGCGTTGTCATTGCGGGAATGCTAACCTCGTATAGACCTACAGTACAAATCCCAATTGTTGGAAATGACACGGGAATGCAAATATGCGACTGACCTTCTGTAGCCTATTCAAAATTGATTCTGAAGCTTGCTGGTCAAACAGGCTATATATAGCCACCCTTTAGTCTAAATCAATGTTTGGTCAACAGAAATACATTTCTGAAAACCCCATAATGTTCTCCATCTAACTATAGGGATGTCATTATGAAAATACTAAGCTCAATTATTTTAGATAGGCCTACAACCGAAAATGCACGTTAAAGTTCACTGTCAGACAAGTCTAAACAATTTCGCTGGCTTGGGCAGCAATAAAGCTGCATGTTTAATCTTTCGGATTTATAGAGACCAGACCCAATTTGGATACGATTCTCCCTCAGCTCGGACATGTTTTGGGTCGGATCCACCTCGGATCCCAATCAGATATTGATTTCCCCGAAAAAATTACCGGATCCTGTCGGGGTCAGGTAGGAATTTAACGGATCGAATTAGGTTCGGATCAACATTTTGGAATGCGAGAAGAGGTCTAGATCAGGGTAAATAAATGGCTTCAAGAAGAGAACACTGCAGATATTACCTCAGTCAGTACTAGGGCAGAAAACACTTTTTAAATAGTCTAGACACATCAACATAAATTAAAAAGTTTTATTAACTCCTTTTATATGAGGATGAGAAATACATTTGGAGAGAGAAATATATAATATTGCAGGTAAGTTTTTCACCATATATACAATAAATTATCAGAACAACTGAGATCAAAATTGCACACACTGCAGGACACTGGTTTGAAAGATAATACAGAGCTCTTATCATGAAAAATACTAAATGTTTATTTAGATATTAAAATATTTCCCCAATAACACTGTTTATCAAATACATGCCAAATGAGTGAAGGGAGAGTTGAATGAGGAGTCTGAATGGGGGTATATCAATTTAGTAAACATGACATTACTTTACAGTACCCTGGTCTGAGCTGGTCTATAGTGAGTCCATATAAATGTCACATGTAAGGCACACATACGCTTTAAAGTTTAAACACTCTAGTGTTTCAGTTTGGCATAGCATTATGTTTCACTGGAATCATTGGTTAAACTCTCCCTAAGAAGGACAATTAATATACATAACGAATGTAAATTAACAGATAACTCACATCCAATTAGGAAATAAATTACAACCCAATGAATCCATTTTTACTGATTACTGGTTGTGGGAGTGAAACAGTGTCAGTGGATTGTGAGGCAGGTAAAAATAAGGGAATTCCTTGGTAAAACAAGGAGGCTGCTGGTGTCCTATAGTGACAGAGGTTAACAGAGTGGGAGATATAAAATAGAGATGTAAAATGGAGGATATAAAACAAAATGCCACTGAAAGGAGGTATAAAATAACAGAGAAATGCAAACATTCAGACTTTTGGCACTGGACATCATAAAGCAATGTTTCCCTATATGCATTTAACAGCGGCGCACCGGGGTGGTAAACCGTTCAGTGTACGGTTTCGTTGCATTTTGGTACACCAGAAGTACATTAATTTCCAATGGAACGCTGCGTTTGCCTTGCAGCATTGCGTTGCAGAGGCAGTTGCAGTGCGTTCTGTGTGGTGCATATGTTGAATTTATCGAACATATGCGTCAAACTGTATGCGTAGACGGCTTAACAGAAATGGTAGCAGAAGGTGAATGTTGAACTTTTGTTGCACACATATCCAGATGATTCTGCGTACTATGCAGAAATCGATCCGCCATTTCCTGGTTGCTAAAATTCTAATAGTTTGCCTATTTTCAGTTTGTGACAAAACAAGCAAGTATATTGTAGAGAATCATTGTACCATCTAAACCGCTGTGAAATATATTTTCCATATCCAAAAATATTGTATTTTCAGCTGGTGTACAAAACCCGAATGTAAAAGATTCCTAAACTAAACTTAAGAACGGGACACATAGAAATAGTGCACATAGAACAGATCTAACGCTTCTTAGACCTGCTTTCAATGCGAATGACAGATCTATAACACACATTTCTATGTGAATTTGGTCGAGTCCCCCAAAAAGTTACATATTGCAGCTTTAAACAACACAAACTAGGTTATAATAGCAGCAGCTATTAGCAAGATATATATGTTTTAAAAATATCATATTTGAGAACTAACAATCACAAAAATAAAAACTAGACAGTCAGGGACAATCTACAATTCCAAAAATGTCATGGCATGGGGCCCCCATTGATTTTGTTATGTTTGAGTCACTCAGATAGCATAACACAACATAAGTGTGTGTGAATTGCAGTAAATTAGCTTTAAAACGACAATTTGTCCCTTAGCCCCATGGCAAAATAAGTAGAATTGCAGGAAATTAGCTTTGAAACTGCAATTTCTCTCAGCCCCATGGCAAAATGTGTAGAATTGCAGAAATGTTGCTTTAAAACAGCAAAGTTGGCCAAGCTCCTCCTCTAAAACGTGCCATTGGCCACACCCACTACCACCAAACCTGTCTCTTACTAAAGGAACTATGGTCCTCCTCTTCTCTTCCAACGCACCCCTCTCCTCCGCATGCAACCGCTTCAGCTGCTCAAACCTTCCCTGCAGCTACACACACACACACACACACACCACACAGCAGCAAAAAGGTTAGAGACTTAACACAATGGATGCCTTCAGATAAAATAAAAATGTTTATCATAATATCATGATAATATCTGTGTATTTGTGTGTGTGGTGTGTTAGGTGTGTGCAAGGGCACACGTGACATGTACCACTCTCTCAGCGTCTTTAAGTTCAGCCTCCTTCTCTTTGACTCTCTGGACAAACAGCTGTCTCATCTCCTCTCGCCACTTAAGTTCCCCAAGAAACTTTGCCTCGTATGTCAGCTGCAGGCTGCGCACACAAAGACACATTTCAAAGGTCATACACACTTCAATTTCACTAGTGTCAGAGTCAACAGGGTCTGTGTCTCTGAAGCCCATCTCCTCTAGCTTGCAGCGGCAGTACAGTTCATAGTGACGTGTGTGAGTCTGCTCCCTCAGATCCTCCATGTTCACACAGATCAGCATCTCACGCAGCTTCACAATGTCACTGTGACTCTCATTCTCCACTGGAACACAGTCAGCACAGTTGATTTGTACCATCTTCTCCTTCTCCCCCAAACAGAGGGTCCCTAACACACACACTCTCTCTCTCTCTCCCGCTCTCTCTCACCTTGCACTATGCCCCAGGGGTACTGGCAAGCCTTCACCATTTTGTTTCCCACAATCACCTCCTCTGTACTGCCCACTACAGCAAATGGCAGGTGGCCCTGCACACACAAACACAAACACACTTCCAGTTGAGGAACAGGGGGGTATGTCCCAAATCAGGATAGAGTTAGCGAGCATTGTCTTAATTAAGATATCAGTTTTTGACTCTCTGGGCTATCCACGTGTAACGTACCAGCTGCCGAGCAACATCAGAGGAATACATAGTTTCGATGGAAAAAGAGACATTTCAAACAAAGTTGATGTCAGAATTGGAGAAGAAAACAGACTAAATTCGTTCTTCTTCTTCTTCTATGATAGCATGGTGGTCTGCAAACAAACGTTTAAGGTGCATGTCGCCACCTACTGTGCTGGAGTGTGCGATCGCTCATGGTCTGCCTAATTCTGTACTACTAAGCAAATAAAATAAAATAAAATAATAAATCCCTACCAACTTCCAGCCCTGACATTAGGTCCACTTAGTACAGGAGCAGCCATGGAATCTCCATCATTCCACACTGTAGTTCCACCAATCTGTTTCACAGCCTCTGAATCATGACTGATTCTATAGAGCCTCTCTAGCGTCTCTCTGCACCTGGCATCCACCAAATGCTGCACTATGATCCCCCACAATTACAACACTTAACCTTCACATTACTCCCACATTCAACGTAATCATGTTCCCCTCCACACTTGGCACATCTTTTCTTTCCTTTACACTGAACAGCTACATGTCCCATTTCTTTGGCATTTAAAACATCGCAATGGGGATGGGACAAATTATCTGAGATTGAAACTAAGGAATCCTATCTGTACTTTCCAGGCAAAACCTTCTCAAACCTCAACATCACTGATAAGCTTTCACTTCTTTGATCCTCTTTCCTACTGATCAACCTTTTGGCCTCAATCACTCTGCCTCCATTCACATTATCTTTAATATCATCTATGGGCATAGATAGTGGGACCCCAGTGATGACTCCCCTCAACCTAGCATAATTAAGTGCAGCTAGTTTGAAGTCTCTCCAGCTTCAGTTTGAAGTGATTGTGTTAGCTGTGTTGTTGGCTAGTGACGAGAGAGCACATTTTCTATGCCAGGTGAAATCGCACATCATTAGCTGATTGTTATTGATGTACTTAGTCTCGGGCCTAACAACACCCGTGCCAATATATCCTCTGGCATTATCACTTAAAAATTAATGATAGTGATTGCTGTAGGGAGACCTGCAAGAATGTGGGTCAAAAGGTTGGAAGCTAAAAGTGAAAAACAGTGTTTTGAAGGTAACTGGGAATCAGAGATAAATGTTTGTGTACTACATTTGTTTTATTTTGGGACTTTACAATTTTTATTCTACAATTGTTTAAATTAGAAGAATAAGACAGGGAGCCTTATGTTAGGTACAAGAGAAACATTTAGATTATATTGTAACCACTAAGGTAGAATCATGGGTCTGAAGGTCATCTCCTACAATATAAAAGGTATCCATGGGCCAATTAAAAGCAAAACTGAAGAACTTACTACAAAAATAGAAGCATATAGAACTATAGAATGTACAATCTTGAGCATTACTCTTTCTGATCATGGGCTGGTGTCAGCTGTATGGGATCTGGAGAGACACATTGTGGAGGATGAATGCTTCACTTCTTGATGAAGATGAATTTAGACAGTTTATTCATTCAGAACTTGAACCGTACTTATAGTTCAACCAAAAACCTGATGTTTCACCTGCTGTTCTGTGGGAAGGGGCAAAAGCTGTAATGAGAGGGCGTATTATTCCATATGCATCAGCAAGGGAAAAAAACAAAGTGAAATGATGCAGAAAATTGGAAGATGACATTGAGAGATTGGAAACCATGCATAAACAACAACAATCCCCCTCAATCCTCTATCAATTCAAAGAGGCTCATAATGCTGTTGATTCTCTGCTTACATTGGACATTTGAGATTTCTAAAGCAACGCTATTATGAGAATGGGAACAGAGCATGTCATTTACTTTCTTTCCGGTTAAGGAAACAACAGGCATCTACTGTAATTCAAAAGGTTAAAACAAATTATGTTGATGCACCCCTTGCTACAACACCCCAGGATATATCAGCAACCTCTGCAGAGTTTTAAAATAATTTATATTCAGATTTAGAAACATGTCCTGAACTTGATAAGCTACAAGGTTTCCTCCAAGGCATTAAACTCCCTCAGTTGACGAGCTCAGCAGTGATGGAACTAGAAAGACCTATATCAGAAGCAAAAATCAGAATAGCTATAAAAAAGCTCAAAAATAGTAAAAGTCTCAGGTTCTGATGGGTACATTAATGAATTGTATAAAACCTTCACGGACCATGTCACTCCAATATTAGTGGAAGTGTTTTCAAAGGAACTAGAAACCGAAGAGCTGCCGTACACTTGGAGATAATCTCTGATCAGTGTTATACATAAAGAAGGCAAAGATGCTACTAACTGTAGTTCACACCGACTTTTCAAAATGGCGGCAAGCATGTATTTTTTTCTCTGAACAGTGTTTGTAGCTGAAAAGCTTTTAGTGTATTTTTGTCTCTCTCCATGTAGCTTTCTTTCATCTGGTTGTGAACACATTGAACAATAGTGCAATATTGCATACAGAGTTTTTAAGGAGACATACAAAACAGGCCTGCTGAAACTTTTGAGGCCTGCTTGGATAAACCTTGGCACCGTATTCTGCACTGGGGCATTATCTGAGCAAATACTTGCCTTCTGCTGCTTTCATCTTTCCACTTGACATTGTGCCTTGGATGTTTTTGGACTACTGCCAAACTTGAACTCCACTTGGTTTATCCTACTTGGATTTACTCTTTTTGACTCTCCCGCGGCCTGGTGTAGTGCTTGCCTCCCTCCTGACTTCCACCGGCCTGTACTGGAAACTACATCCCCTCCAAGGTGCTTCTCTCCTGGCTATCATATCGGTAAAACGGCCTCTGGTGCGTTGCTGTTTTGATGGGTCCAGCATTTAATCGCATTGAGTAAGTCACCGCTCTCTCCTTGCTGTTGTTATGCTGGCAAGTTTTGTGCCTTGGTTGAATTACTTTTCCAAGGTTAGCACCATAGGGCATGAGGCCGCAGCCAATGTCAATATGGGGAACTCTCAGAGTAACCAATGATGGAATGTTATAAACTGACTTACATGGGCTTTGGTTGCTATCATGCAACACCCCAAGCCCTCTACGTGATTTGAAAACCGAGGGGGTATTCAAGTTTATGGAATTCACAGTTGAACTAAAAGCAGACCATAGTGGGCTTCTCTTTTGAGCTAATACCATATCTAAGAGTGGAGTTCAAACGAATGGGTACAAGATTACAACTGACGACACCCCTGGCAGTATAGACAACAGTTCAACGATAATACTTAGAAAGGATGGCAGGTATTACTTGAGCGGGGCTTGGTCTGTCTCTGAGTCAATATCTTAACGTGGCCTTGAAATGTGGAGAGAGGGTATTTTGTTTCCAAAAAGTGTCAAATTTGTCAATAAAAGTTATGCCAACTGAGTGGCAGTAGTCTTTAAGACATATTTGAAGTGCGAAGAGCCTGCTGAACCTTTCGCAGCTGCGACACAGCTACGGCACAGGGCCAGAGATAATCGGCTGCTTTTCAGAGCCTTTCAGGATGTTGATCAGCTCAATAAAATCATGTTTCATTAGCTCTGATTTACCCTTTTTTTTATATCATTTGATCCCACATGAACTACAACAGCAGCAGCCCTTGGCATGCTGCTGTAGGATGGAAGAAATCCTGTGATATCCTTCGCCGTAGCCCCCGGGTAGCACAGGGTTTTTGCTCCAGGAACCGAGATGTGCCTTACCATGGAGCTACCAATAATGATAGCTGGAGGAAGGAGAGTGGCCGTGGACGTCCAGCCTTTTCTGAGCCTTCTTGAGGACCGACGGGAGATGGGGGACGGAGGACCCACATCATCAATAGAAGCCCTCCGAGCAGGGTGGGGAGAGCCCGGGGGGTACTGGCCTGTGGCTGAAGCCCCTAAACTGGACCCTCAGGAGACAGGGTAGAGGATGAAGGAGCAGGAATCTCTGGAAGCAGGTGAGCCAAACTGTTGATCAGCAGGATGGGATCCCCAAAAGCCATTTCAGCCCCATTCACCACAGACCGCTGCCCAAAAACTTCAGTGAACAGGCTTTTTTACATGATCTTTATTTTAGTGACCTCGATCGTATTTCAGCTATCCCTGAACCTGACATAGCTTTGAGCCTTTTTGCAGATGTCTTCAATACTATTGTAGATAATCATGCTCCCTTCAGAAAATTAAGGGTTAAAGCTAGATCAAATGCCTGGAACACTCCAGAATTATCAGAAGTCATTCATAAAAGAGATTATGCTTGGGTCAAGGCCAGGAACACAGGCTTAGGCCTGGATTGGCAATATTTTAAGCAACTGAGGAATCATTGTGTAAAACAAATCAGAAAGGCTAAATCTGATTATTATGTAACCACTCTTTCGGATTGTAATGGCAACCAGGCTAAATTCATGAAAACTGTCAAATCCCTGAAGGGTTCTACCTCCTGCTCTCTACCACAACAAAATAATTCAGACACTGGCCTTGTTACAGAAAAATATGCCATCATTGATGCATTTAATCATCATTTATATTGGGCTGGATGATGATAGGGGAAACTTGCTGAATGATCAGAGAAATAATAATCAAAGCTTTTATTTTAGGCTATTGACAGAAAAATAAGTCCTGGATGCTTTTCTAGCAATAGACAACAAGAAATCCATAGGGGCCGACCAATTAGATCCTGGTCTGCTTAAGTGTGAAGCGCCTATCATTGTTGGCTCAATAACCCACATTTTCTTTTATTTAACGTTGTTATCAGGAAATATTTAAAAAGTATGGAAATCAGCTCTTGTGCTGCCACTCCATAGTCTGGCACGGTGGATGCATCATAATACACATAAAACCTAGCGGTAAAACCCAGTGGTGGAAAAAGTACTCAATTGTCATACTTGAGTAAATGTAAAGATATCTTAATAGAAAATGACTCAAGTAAAAGTGAAAGTCACCCAGTAAAATACTACT